CAAACCTCGATAATTGAAATTCAGCCAGCGGTATAGTGAAAGGAAGGCTGCTGGGTGTGACATAGAACTGTGGGCTGCTGAGGCGACGTATCCATCTTGATCTTGACTGCAGGGTTGGCGTCTAACGCTACAATCCGAGCAGCAGATCAAATCCTTCCTCTGATCCTTCCTCCTTTTCTTTCTTTTGTATTTGAGGTACGAAGTTTTTTCTTGGCTTTTGGCTTTTCGATTGGTTGATTCTTGAACTTTCTCCAGTCATCTCCCCCGCTATTTTCTCTCAGGACCAAAGTCAGAAATTGATAAAAATGGTGATCCGGCCTGCCGACGGAATGCACCAGGGAGTCGTAAAATAATGCACGGAATGACTGTGCGCAGGTGTAAATCACTCTCAGCTTCAAGCTCGTACCGTGGGGTACACGTGACTTACCCAAATCGTCGGCACGGCACTCACGGTACCGTAGTGGAAATCGGCCCATAATTACCGTGCATTCCGGCGGCAGGCCGGATCACCATTTTTATCAATTTCTGACTTTGGTCCTGAGGGAAAATAGCGCGGGGGAGATGACTGGAGAAAGCTCAAGAATCAACAAATCGAAAAGCACAAAGCCAAGAAAAAACTTCGTACCACAAACACAAAAGAAAGAAAAAACTTCCTTTCAGGGAGTAGTTAAATACCTACTACTCACTGCATTCGACCTCACGGAATACCACGGCATGCCATTTCCACCCCCCAGAGACCCTCGGCACCGGAATGTCCACGGCGCGGTACGGCAGGAGCCACGGAATGAACTCGCGCCAAAACTGCCCCTCACGTGAGCAAATCACCATGGGTACTCACGGCACGGCGGCACTCACGGTACCGTAGTGGGAATCGGCCCTAAAGCGGGATTCACAGAAGCTTTTTTGCGATGCGACACGCGATGCGACGCGATCTGCGATGGATGCGTGCGATGCGAACTCGCGAAATACCATTCACAGAAGAAGTCAGCGATGTGACAAAGTTTTGCTGATTTAGGTACGTCACCATGATATTCGCGCGGTTTGACACAACTTGTAAAAATTTATAGGCAACTCTTGCACCTTTGTACAACTTTGCTGTAGAAAAGGTCAAAACGTACACCAAATCGCTTGTCGCATCGCATCGCATCGCAAAAGTTGAGCCAAGCTCAACTTCTGCGATGGCCTGCGATGGCCCAGTTGCGGCAGTTGCGTGGGGTGCGACATGGCTGCGATTTGGGGTTTTCCCGGTTTCGCGTCTGTCGCATCGCGTGTCGCATCGCAAAAAAGCTTCTGTGAATCCCGCTTAAAGCGGGATTCACAGAAGCTTTTTTGCGATGCGACACGCGATGCGACAGACCCGAAACCGGGAAAACCCCAAATCGCAGCCATGTCGCACCCCACGCAACTGCCGCAACTGGGCCATCTAATCGCAGAAGTTGAGCTTGGCTCAACTTTTGCGATGCGATGCGATGCGACAAGCGATTTGGTGTACGATTTTGACCTTTTCTACAGCAAAGTTGTACAAAGGTGCAAGAGTTGCCTATAAATTTTTACAAGTTGTGTCAAACCGCGCGAATATCATGGTGACGTACCCAAATCAGCAAAACTTTGTCGCATCGTTGACTTCTTCTGTGAATGGTATTTCGCGAGTTCGCATCGCACGCATCCATCGCAGATCGCATCGCATCGCGTGTCGCATCGCAAAAAAGCTTCTGTGAATCCCGCTTTAGTCCCCAGCGATTCTTCACGTCGACCCGTCTGCCCTGACCACGGTATTTGAAGCGCAGGTCACCAGCCCAGACTCCTCTACTTCAGCTGCCAGACGACCCGCGGGGCCACCGTACCAATCCAGCGAGCCTTAATATCCTTCAAGCCAGTCTCTGTAAACACCATCTCCAGTATTATATGCTCAGACGTTTAAAAACGTGGAAGGCTACCGGCTCCGATGGGCTACCACCAGTCCTCCTGAAGAGTAACCATGCCAAGTACATCGCTAGTTCCCTCACTACTATCGTCAATGAGTCTCTTCAAAAAGGACAATTCCCCACGGGTTTCAAAGCAGCAGACATCTGCCCAGTGTTCAAGAAAGGAGATCGCACCCAGGCAACCAATTACCGTCCGATATCCCTATTGCCTGTGGCATCGAAGATATTGTTGTCTACGAACAGCTGCAGACATTATAATGAGCCTGACCTTTAGTTTAGAAAGTCTTGTCGACGCATGCATCCACGGAATAACGCACCACCATGTATCATACAGGTAATGATCACTCCCTTAGTATTGACTCCCATAGATTTTTACCATACATAAGCAGTCAAAATATTCCTGCATATTTCACACCTTAGGGCTATATTGACCGCTTATATTTGACTCCTTTTTAGCGATTGAACACAGGCTTTGGCTAGTCGTGATAAATCTAGTATTGACTTCGTACTTGGTCAGTATAGGAAATAAAAGACCTCGTAAAAGACCTCGCCTTCGCCTCGGTCTTTTACTCGGCTTTTATTTCCTATACAGGTAGACTCCCTTTAATTCGAACCTCAAATTGCCAGGCCCTAACTTCGAATTATCCAGAACTTCTAATTATCCAAATGCAGCCCCATGCACTGATATGTATGTCAAAATGCTTGAAATCTCATGCTGAATATTTTTTGCACATTTTTATTTGCATCAACGAAACATAGGTGGTCGTATCGGTCATGTACAACGGATCATCAAAACACTGGATCGACACAAAATCATTTTGACATTATCTTCATCTTCTAGTGAAGAAGTTGTCAATCACTGCAGCTTTCCTGAAACAATTTCAACGGAAAAGAACTGCGCTGCCTAATCCACGTCATGAAAAGTTGGGCACCCTGTAAGAAGACCTTAGGGTCTGTTGGGAATGCCCAAGTAAAATAATAAAATACAATACAAAATACAAAAGGCCGTCGAACAGCAGCACGTCGTTCTGAAGAACGGAAGTGGAGCATAGGCATCGACAATATTTACGACAAGAGTGTTGTTGTTCGCCAACATCCCCGCGCACGAGCTGGCGCGGCAAGAAAGGCCATCGAGATCCGCGAAGAGAGTCAGCCACCTGGAAGAAGTCGTCTTCAATCAAACCTTTGCAATTTGCCTAGCACGGGCTTGAATCAAATTTCGAGAGAAGGTGGGTTTCTTGAACGCTATAGTCGATCCTGCAGCGGACCATCAATCAATTTCTGAGCTACTCTTGGCTAGAGAAGGAGAAAAGAATGAACTTCGAATTACAAGGATAGCAACTCAATCTCACTTCGAAATAAGCGTTCAAAGGACATAGCCAATGTACTGTAAACAGCTCTTCTGTACGAAGACTGGGTTCGAATTATCCAACCGGCGCACTTTTCGTACTTCGAATTATGCATTCGATTTTGACTTGAAGTGACTTGCAAAAGATCGGTACGACGAAAAAGTTCGAATTACACGGAATGTTCGAATTAAACCGTATTCGAATTAGAGGGAGTCTACCTGTATTGACCTCGTACTCAGTCAATATTAGATACGTATTGAACGTTTTCGTTCCCTTCTTCTCAAAATACTAGGCTACAGGGAATGATGGGAAAAAACTAAGGGACTACAACAGACAACTATGTTTTTCGATTTTGACAGCATGTTACAAAAACATGTTAAACTACCAAGCAAGGCTTCTGTATATACCAACAGACAACTACTAGTAAAGCCTAAAGGTAAAAAAATAGAAATACAGCACTCCTATTATCACGGTGTAGAAATCATGTGACACAAACTTGTGACAAAGGAGAAAGATACTAGTGTCAAGGTGAAGAGTCAAACTGACCCAGCATGCATGCATGCAAACCATTGGCATTGGGTGACAAAAACTTGGCGTGAACAAAATAATTGTCAAGAGTTCAAGGATTCAGGAACCTACATGATTGTACAATGGCTACATGACTGTATTTCACACCTTCGCAACAATGCCAAGCAACTGCAAAGACAACCGTGAGTCCGTGGCCGGCCGTGATTTTCCTTATGTACAAAATAATTGGAGTGCATGTATTTTTCACAATATTGTATACATATACACACATGTACATGACATTGTAGTTGTAATCCCTTATCAAATTATTATTATTTTTGATAAGGCAATCCCCGCAGGCCTAAAGTTGTATCAAACCGCGCGAATATCATGGTGACGTAGCCAAATCGCGGCAAGATTTTGTCGCATCGCACGCGTCCGTCGCAGATCGCGTCGCATCGCGTGTCGCATCGCAAAAAAAGCTTCTGTGAAGCCTTCTTACAGGGTACCCTACTACATGTACATGTACCTTAGTTTTTTCCATCTTTCCCTGAGTATTTTGAGAAGAAGGGAACGAAGAAGGGAACGAAAACGTTCAATACCGTACTTGCGTAAAGACTACTACAAAAAAAAGTACTAGTACTATTCTTCTATGATGAGTCATGCCTTTGTTGGTTGGCAATCATTACGTCATTTTGATGATTTGCATGCATGCATCATGCATGTACCTGTACATATATGTGCGCACGTGCATGACGTGATGTATGCGCTTGCGCAATGACCTCCTGGGCCTTCGGCAAGTCTTGCAGCTTGTGCATGCAGCTGGTTCACGGATATGAGTACTCGTACATATATTTTGAATGCCTGAGCTGAATGCGCGACCAGCCGACCACTCACGAAAGTCACGATCACTCACGATCACGTGATCACGTGAATTCTGCTGGGACGCGCTAGAGCGCGCGCCCTGGTTCATGCTTCGCTCGAGCCTAGCGCTAGCGCCTGCACCCTGCAGCCTGCCTGAGGCTTTTTGCCTTTGCCGGCTTTGGTGAAGACTCGTAGTCTAGTTTGGAGCTGATGCATGCTGTCTGGGCGCGAGTCCCACCGTCGCCAAGTGCAGGATGTGTACGAGTGCGCTAGCTAGCTAGCTACAGTACAGACAGTCCAGATCAGAGAGAAAGGGGATCTACCGCCGTGCACGCACGGACACGGCCACGTTCTCACTTGACCACGAGGAGAGGCGAGGTACTGAGTCTGTATACTAGGTTCACAGAACTACTGTTTGGAACTGTTGCTTTTTTTACTTGGAAACATCAAGAAACAGAACGATCCTTGATGCAGTGAAAGTGATTTTAGGTAGTTGTTGTTTGTAGTTTGGTCGAAGCCCTTACTTAGTTTTGTAGAGTTGCTTTGCTGAGATCGAGAACGGTCAGGTATAAGCATTTTCGCCTGACCAATTCGCAGTACAAAATATTAATTTGCCTTTTTAGCTGAAGCTGAAGCCAGGTTGAAGGTGGACATGGATTTCTCGGATAGTTTCTTCCACGATAAATTCAGAGCAGATGACTCTGTTATTCCAGAGCGAATTCGCCACGATGAGCCATCGGTTACGTCTGTCTCGGATTTGGTTCCGAGTGGAGTCAGCTCCTCATTTGACCAGATGGACAGTTTCTTCCGTGATTCGCTTAGAGCCGATGCCACCATCAGTTTTCCTGAACCGATCCTGAAGGAAGAGCCGTCGGCAACATCTGCTTCAGACTTAGTGCCGACTGGAATCAGCTCTGCATTTTTTGATCAGATTGAATGGCCGGACAGTTTCCGCGAACTTGAAAAAGACGATGCGGTTGTTATAGACACATCGGCTTTGAGCAGTCTGAGCAGCCTGCGTGCCTTGGCCGTGGATACAGCACAAGCCACTGCTGATGAATCCACACCGAACACAGTCAGGAGTGCGCTGGATGCTGCCAGTGATTCTGCTGCCGCAGCTGGACTTCTAACCCGTAAATCACAGTCAGACTTCAAGTCCGCCGATGATTTCAAGGCGTATAAAATGCGGCGCGAGAAGAACAATGAGGCGTCTCGACGCAGCCGAACCAAATTCCGCCAAAAGGCGCGCGAAATGGAAGAGGAAGTACATGGCTTGCGCGAGGAGAACACCAATCTCAAGAAGCAGCTGAGCACGATCACAGCCGCATTTGAGGCACTGCGGCGGCAGCAGTCTGAGTTTACGGGCATCCGTAGCAGCTCTGCGCAGTCAGGTGACACATCATTATGATGGTGGCGTGTTGCCATGACGTTGCGAGACTTGTTTTTCTTTTCTGTTTGAAACTTTAAGGATAACCTAGTATCTAGAGAGCGCGTGCGCGCGTTGCTTCTCTGGCATGCAACACTGCTCTTTTGCCGTGGCTCTTCTCCGGCACTGCTCCCTGGAGTGCTCTATCTCTTTCCTTCTTTCTTCGGTCTCTCTCTCTCTTTCCTTCTTTCTTCGGTCTCTCTTTTCTGTCTAGAAAAATCCGGCGTATCTTTCTACTGCTTACTTTCTGACAGTTTGTCTCCACTTCCTCGTACTGCTCGGGGACTCTTTTTACGTTTCAACATTCCGTTTTATCTCAGGGACTTGCCATGCTATTGCCATTGCAGCTAGTAAGTACCCTGGCCCAGCTTCTGCCAGTACTGCTGGTGTATTTATTATCGCTCTTGTCTTGCTGTTTGCTATTTGCTGTTTTCGCTTTCCTGCTCCATGTTAGGTGCACGTAGCTGTACATGCTGTCTCATGTATGCCGTGTGCATTTTTGAGCTTTTTCTGCTCTCACCGCTGTTCTAGCTAGTTAGCAATGATTACATGTTTTGCGTGTGTGTGTGTTGTGTATTTCGACTAGTATTTTTTACTTGAGCTGTATCAGGCTGTATTTGCCTTGCCTTGAATTCAGATATTTGCGTTCGTGCAAATCATATTTAGCCACTTATCCAATTTCTTTTTCTCTCCCTCTCGTTCCGCTTCGGCACGGGAACATGCAATGCCTTTTCAACTGATCTACAGAATATTTAGTCGATGTGCTAATCAGTTACGGTTCGGGGGGGGGGGGGGGGCAGCCCCCAGGAGTCCCGTCATTAGTTTCAGGCTGTTGATCGGCCCCCTGTCGGATGTCTGCCTGTGAAGTGATGTCAGCGTATACTGTACACTGTGTTGAACTGACGCATGCACTGTTGTACGCCATAAGTTTGTCACCGAGGCAAATGATGTGTAATTGAACCATGGATGTATTTGAGAGCAACAAATACCGATCGATTTCTTTTTTGAAGACCTCAATCGGCCAAAGTTTAATGACGGCCAAAAGTTTCATTTCCAGGTCGGCCAAAGTTTCTCACCGGCCAAAATTTGTTTGATTTGCAGTACATGCTTCTCGGATTATCCAACTCCCACATGCGGTGAGTGCTGTTCCGGCAGAATTTCTAGTACATGTATTCAAGTTGACGCCATTTCGGGGATGCAATGCTTTGCGCACGAGCGTCATTAAAAAATTTGATTTCTGACGTGTGTACAACACAACGAGCACGATAAAAGTATAACGAATCACACGTGTTTCCTTGTACTGTAAAAGCAGAAACTTTCGGTGGTGTTTTTATTTTCGGTAACTTTGGTGGCGAAAATAAAACGCAACGAAAATTTCGGTACTACGTATAATAAATGTAGAGCCGAAGGATTTATTGCAATTACATACCAGTATGTAATTGCAATAAATCCTGAGGCTACTACATTTATTATACATATGTTGACCTTCACTTTTCCTAAAAAGGAGTATTATTTTTATAAACAGTATTTATTGGCCCTAGTGGTATTTTATAAACAGTATTTATAGTATTTATTGGTTATTGACACATTAAAATTCAACAACTTTCCTGACAAAGTGATCGCGACTGCTCATGAACGAGCCAGACGACCTGCTAAACAAAAGAAAGACTATCGATCCACGTTGAAGTTACCATTCAAAACGGATGCCATCCACTACAGGGTCCACCGTCTTCTAAACAAATACAATCTAAATGTACAGATAATCCACAAGAATGCAAGGCTTTCCAACAGCGTCACTAAGTCCAGCCTCACTGGACCTTGCTGCCGTAAGTGGGTGGATCCCGCTGCCCCGAGGCGACGAGGAAGGCCTAAAGCCGCCTGCGTTGCATGCCAATCGAGCGAGGTAGAATGCACAAGACGCAACGTGGTTTATCGTCTGACCTGCAAGTGCTCGGAGAAGTATGTTGGAGAGACTGGCCGCAGTGTAGCAACGCGAACAAAAGAACACAATGATAACTCACGCAACAAGACGTCTGGAAAAGCCCTGGGCGAGCACTACCGACTTCACCATGGCGACGAGGTACTGCCGCTTGGCGAGTACGGCATTCACAGAGGTTCGCGTCCTTGCCACTGAGTCGGATCGGGCCAGGAGGAGAATACGCGAAGCAATACAAATTCGCGACACGAGCCCCAGCATAAACAATAACGCAGGGTGGGACCTCCTGTGAATTCTCTGGTGAAGCCTTGTACATATTTCTGGCCCTGATACTCGCTCTTCCTGGATGGTGGTGGTTTAGCACCCCTTGAACTAGTGCACTGTTACTACTACTGTTGTTGCTAGCGCCTGCAATTACATGTCTGCACGCACCTAGTGCACATGTACATTCTGTTTGTTGCTTGTACCTGTGCCATTTTTAGAGTTGTCGCGTATTGCGTTATTTCTATACCTGGGGTTTTTTTTGGTGATGTTTTGTCCTTTTGTTCTCTCTCTCGTCATAGTGCATGCAGGTGTGATTTGTTATCAGTTTGCAGCGCTCCTCGTATATTAACCCATCCTAACCGGTGTGCCCACTTCATTCCTGATGATGGTTATTTCATGACCGAAACGTTGAAATATAATATTTTTCTGGTGAAAAGCAGTTATTTGAGTGTGAGCCAGTGTTGCTCACAACCAATTTTTTAGTATTTATTGGGTCAAAAGCCAATAAATACTGTTTTATATAAAATACCACTAAGGCCAATAAAATTAATACTGTTTATAAAATACTCCTTTTTAGGGAAAAGTGGAGTGCTACATGGAAAAGTGCAGTGATATTTTATTGAGTCAAAGCAAATTTATTTGAATTTGATACTGTTGATGGTGTGGTCACTAATGAGTGTGGGTATTTATCAAAGGTCAATATATAGTACTAATACACTTTTGAATACTACCTGGAAAAAGGATTTACCGAAAATTTCCCTCCGTCAAACTGCCGATTTAGGAGAAATTGAAAATATTACACCACCGGAAATTTCTGCTTTTACAGTACAGTCAACTTCGCTAATAACGACTGCGGATATACCGGCAATTCGCGAATAACGACAGAATTAATTTCCATGCCCAGAGCAAAGTCCCATCGAACTGAAAACATAATATTAAATGAGACTTCGGGTATATTAAACGCCACTTCGCGAATAAGGACACTTTTCTGCTGCCCCGCCGAGTGTCGTTATCAGGGAGTAGTACAATACCGTATTGTACTACTCCCTGGTCGTTATGTGCAAAAATGACTACTGTAAACGGTGAAATTATTACGATGGTCTAATTTCCGCGAAATTCGCGACCGCGTGGAAATCGCGAAATTTAGACAGCGCGAAAAGGAGATCCATGAAAGGTTTAGCAAGAATGCCACAGTAGCACATTCTGCAATCGCAAAATTAAAACTTTGCAAACCTGTCCGGATTCTGAAAACGCGAACTAAACACGCCGCGAACATTTCATGCTTTACAGTACTGTAGTTTGTACGGGATCAAATTGACATGGGGGTTTGTCCCTCAGGTCCAGGATACGTCTGGACTGTTGTGCATTGCATCACTGCAGGAATTTAAGAAGAGTTTACGTACATGTACACACACGAGCATGCCCATAGAACCACTGGCATTCCTACACCTCGGCAGTAATTGCACATCACACTTTCCTTTGAAGTTTTATTGTCCCATTCCATGTGTCTGGCTAATTTTATTCTACCCCCCCCCCCCCCCCCCCTGTTATGCTACCTATTCAATATCGCACAAGTGGAGAACCCCTCGATAGGCTACCCGCCTATGGGTCATCCCTCAAATAAAGATAATAATAACAATGACGGCAACTTGAGATTCTACCTGGACAGCACTGATACCAAGACTGCAAGAGTACATAAAGGGGGTTATGTACTCTTGGTGATACCACTGATAGCGGAGTTGCACACTCTGAGTCTTGGGGCCGGGTGGTTATGTACTCTTGAAGGCTATGTATACAGTATAGTCAGTCCTCTTGTTATTCCATGCACGGATCCTCTCTCTCTCTCTCTCTCTCTCTCTCTCTCTCTCTCTCTCTCTCTCTCTCTCTCTCTCTCTCTCTCACACACACACACACACACACACACACACACACACACACACACATGCATACACACACACAACATGCATATCAAACACAAGGTCCTGGCAGTTCCGGCACCACCCAATCAACATACAGTACCGGTAACTGACACACAGGGCAATGTGTGCACGTGCAAATACACACGCACACACACACACACACACACACACACACACACACACACACACACACACACACACACACACACACACACATACACGCACACACACACACGGCGACATAAGATCGCAAGCGCTGAAGTAGCCGTATCGGCATACTGAAACATTGAAAACATCTTCATCAGCAGGCAGGCAGGCAGGCACAGTGGGTTGGTCTAAGACCATGATTGAGTTAATTGGGAACTCGTGGCCTGGCATGAGTAATACATGGATGTGGCAAATGGGATCGAGGCCTTTGGCCTCTGGTTGGTGGATCTGATCTATCCTCCCCCACCGTTTAGGAGCCGCATCTGACGCCTGATCATGGGGTGGTGGCGTCCCATGGAAGCGGAAAGGTGGTTCTTGACCAGGGAGTTGTACGACTCCTTGTTCTTGACCTGCCCGGTACGCGAACCCCGTCGAATTTATTTCGAATTTTCATCAAATTCAGCTGGAAAGACGCTTTGTCCAATCACAGCATACGTTACAAGACGAAATACTACACGGCAACCACTGGTACCGAAACTACAAAGACGTATTGAGTAATTTGAGTGTATGTGAAAATATCCACGGCAAAGACTGAGAGCAGTTATATAAAACAAAACAAAAGACATCAGACTGATAAAGCCAGACCAGAGTGGCCGCAGGGCAGCAACAACAAGACAGATGCAGAGAGAGAGAGAGAGAGAGAGAGAGAGAGAGAGAGAGAGAGAGAGAGAGAGAGAGAGAGAGAGAGAGAGAGAGAGAGAGAGAGAGGGTAAAACAGAACTATGGATACGACTAACATAATATTATATTTTCGTGTGATGATTATTATGCTTGATATCTGATGACAAGACGAGGGACGAGTAACAATGGGGACTTGTGAAATGTCAACACCCTCAAGACTGCGGAAGAGGCACAGACCACAGAGATGCCTGTTGAAGTGTATCAAGGTTATTGCCACCAACAATAATAGATTTTCAACAATATATATATTTTGCATGTGCTTTATTAGGCTAGACGAAGATAAGAGACGGCACATGGGCATGGTAAGTTACTTGACTGGGTATAAATAAATATAACAAAATAGGCACACAAAGTGAGTGCGGCACCGTCTACGAAAAAAAACCGGACACTGGGGTAAGGGGGTTTACAGACTTGAACAACTCTAGTGATCGACATAATCTGAAAACGCACGGCACAGCTATGACGAGACTACAACGTGCCAAATTGCGGCATGCGACAAATTATGGACAAATACACACACACACCACACACATGTACACACACACACACACACACACACATGTACACACACACACACACACACACCCACGTGTACACATGCACGCACACGTGCACACACACACACACACACACGCACACGTGCACACACACACACACACACACACACACACAGATAATATATGGCATATGTACAATAGTGCTTGGTCTAGTACGGGCCGTGCAACAGCAGCAGCCAAAGAAGGGTAAAGGATGCAGGGCCCACTAGACCATGTACAGCACTCAGAGTAATACTTCACAAAACTCTTCTCGGCAACTGTACAAGAAGACGATTGGAAGCCTGAAAAACACAGCACACACCAGCAGAAAAAGAGTTTGTAAAGCAATCATACAATCATACGGATATGATGGGGCCTATGGGTGTTGCACTGGTTAGGAATGGAACAAATCAAATACATTCTACGAAGAAAAACTGAGGGAACATGAGAGAAAGAGAAACAGGGTCACATGCACAGCTCTGCCAGTGACTGCCAGTTCTCCTTCTTCACCTAGGCAGAGCAAAGAAAGATGCTCGTGCCAACTGTGGCGCCTGTACCTGTGTACTCCTGTGATATACGTGGGTTGCACATGTAACTGTTATGCTCGGTGTGCAGGTGCTGCTTGCCGGCATGCTCTTGTGTTGTCGTTATGGATCTCACAGAGGCAGTGTGCAATAACCGGCTAGTTGTGGATCTCAGTTGGTTGTCTTTGCGAATAAATTATGAAATGGCGAACACGACATGATGCCAGACGTGAACTTTCCCTTTCAGAGCGCAATTGCGTGGCCGTCTTGGATTACTCAGTCCTTGGATAGACACTTTTTAGTGTCAGTAGCGTGCCATTATGTCCACTGGAACATGATCCAAAGACCCGGAGGATTCTAGTTCTCTGTCTGGCCAGGACTCCATCGCAACTATGCAGCGTATGTCTCGCATCCTGCGGACATCGCCTCTCTCTCTCTCTCTCTCTCTCTCTCTCTCTCTCTCTCTCTCTCTCTCTCTCTCTCTCTCAAATAAGAAGGCCATTCTGTTCTTAGCAACCACATGAGCATCATGGCGAGCATGATAGTGCTTTCCGCTCACGTGGAAAGAGCATTTTTTAAATTAAAAAAATCATCGCTTGCGTGAGCATAAAGGACACAGCGAAGCTTTGACAAGCTACGCTACGGAAGATTATTCACCAAAGTTGTGCAGGTACACGTGCAGTAGCTTGAAGGACACGTTGAACACAACGGAGTTCGTACAATCGCGTCACGGAAAACGTAAAAAAATGGGTCTGTCCGGGATTTGAACCCGGGACCTCTCGCACCCTAAGCGAGAATCATACCCCTAGACCAACAGACCTCACTGACAAAATAGGAATGGGTGGGGGAATCTTGATTCCAAATGCGACAAGGCCCTATTCCGATTTTCTTTCATTTCTGAGCCGGTGGGCAACCAAAATTACCTCTTGAGCAAAACAACCAAATAAAGGGCGTGTGAGATGCAGCAAAGGTGAGTCACCTTGACGTAAAGGAACAACTCTCCACAGCGGCCTCTTTCTTCAGTAGTTGCATAACAACAGTGAACCAGGCTCAGTGGAATTTGCAGTTGGCCAAAAATAAAGCCGGATGCAGGAAAGGCCACCCGAGATCCCAAGTAACACATTGAGCAAAAACAACAACAACAACAACAACAACAACAACAACAACAACAACAACAACAACAACAACAACAACAACAACAACAACAACAACAACAACAACAACAACAACAACAACAACAACAACAACAAGAGAATAAAGAATTTAAAAAAAACAACAACAACACTTACTTCTTGTCATAGACAAGTTCACGGATGCTATCGCACACTCTGATCAGGTACTTCCGATACTTTGAATGTCTGCGGCAGCAACAGCAGCAGTGGCGGTGGCGGCAACAGCAGCAGCAATGGACAGTTAGGGGCTGACACTAAAGATTTACGTTAACCCTGAAAAGAACATCATTCACTTTACAGTGACTCTAAGATAGCTTGCATAGACCTCGGTCCTACCGGTAGGACCTACCGGTAGGACCATCATACACAGACATGCTGCATGGCCTCTGTTCCAACATTGACCTAAAACTTGATCCTAAACTGTTGCTAAGGGGCTAAGGCCACCCTTTCTTTTTTCGTTGTTTAACGTCCGCGCCCGCGTACCTTTTTGCCTCCGACCGGAAAAAAAAACAAGAAAGTAGTAGTACCAATAATATGCGAAGTTGTAAATACATGATTGTGTAGTTTCACAGTGTGCCGATCATGACCTTAAACTTATAATCTTGCCTCCCGGGCATTCCTTTGTCTTGTGTTCTTTTTCTTTTTTTGTTGGCTTTTAAATACCGTACGGTGTGTGTCCTAGTAAAAATCCAGATGTAATGAATTCATGACATGCTAACTCCATGCTATGTACCTGTTTTGTTGGATTCATCAGGCATGTGCTCCAATGTACCATCAAAGAGTGTTGTTCTATGCCTGCAAGTGCCGTTAGACCCAGAAATATTGTATATATCACATGCTTTACTGGTCAAAATGTTTGATTGGGGTTTCCAGTTTTTGGAATGGGCTTTTGTTTTTTTTCCGCCCTCCCGCGTACCTTTTCGCGAAAAAAAGGACGTTAAACAATGAATTAACAAAGGGTGGCCTAATGAAGGAGTTCACAAATTTTAGACGTGATCGCACAAGGCATACTGCGAAATTCCATGGTAACAACCCATGGTAACCATGGAAACGGAGTATGGAATTATGCATTCCACGGCCTTGGCAAGCTAATAAAAACATTAGGACCTCACCACAATTGATGTGCCATGGTCAAAATTCGCTTTGGACAGAGTTGCTAGCGCACCGACAGGATTATGTGCGGCCATTTTGACAATCGATAAAATTGCGCATACGCAATGCACTGGACATAGCCTTGCATTTTGCGCCAATACTTTGACTGACAAAGACCTCATGTCAACAATTGTTTCAAAAAATTTCTCAACCAAAAGCACTTTTGCAGCTCAATTTCTTGGGTCCTACCGGTGGGACCCGTGGTCCTACCGGTAGGACGGTATGCAAGCTATCAAGTAAAACCTTTCCCTTCCCTCCTAGACAAACAGAAGTTTGCTATACCGGACAATGCGAGTCTCAGAATGCACATCCCGGAATAGAAGAGAAGTGATTGTGCTACAGCCACACCAGAATTGAGCTTTCCAGGCTAGCACAGTCTAAAACCGCTTGAACTCGAAAATGAAAGCACTGTGAAACTCACTCAGTACATCCTCTGATAAGACACACCGTCACACGCATGCTTAGTATGGCCATTGTCTAGAGCACGAGTGTGTTGATCTGTGCTGAAGTGTGTTGCCAAGTACCTCCGATGCTAGTACACGTTTCTGCTGCCCATGGGTCCGATCAGAGTTCTACGGTACTGCCATTCCGGAACCACTGGTACAGTGGACTGCAGACACTAGATCAGGAGAGTGTTTGTGCTGATGTACCCACCCCTATGAAGAAGGTCTGCAAATACAACATGAATACAATCTGATTCTTGCAGAATGCCAAGCCCAGCTACAGGGTGACCACGTACATGTAGAAACTGATGTGATATGATCCTCATGCCTTATCACGTGACTTTTACATCATATAATTAGCCTGTATGTTACGTCACAACCAGCATGCGCCATCTTGGATACTAGTCGCTTCAAGTGCATGCTTGGCTTGACCTGGTTGTCTGTTCTTTTATTTGTCTTCTTCACACCTGTGTCTAAATGCATTCTTCCACAACCTCAACCTGTGTTCTTGAGTGTTC